AGAAAAATAACAAAGAAATTGGTTAAATACTTTCCCTTCCAGCCTTAGCCCCTATAATAGGGTTAATATATTTTGAAAAGCTAAAAAGAGGACACTTTTACCAAATGACTACTTCAAACCACCTATTGCTATGACGATCCTCTTTAAATGTCACTACAATATAAGCTGTGATAATCATTACTAGAAATATACCTAACCTTTATTGTATTGAAATAACAACGATTTTGCCTTCTCCCCTCCCTGTCTCAGCTGCTCCACCAAGCCACCCTGTTCCATCACACCCATGTGGCCAGTAGCTCCCTAAACCACCTTGCTTGGCTAGCTCACTTTTCACTTTTGGGGTTGTCAGCCTTTGATTTTAACAATCTGCCCAAATAAAAATTTTGGCTCTGAGAAAGAGGACATGCCCAGGACAGGAGAACATATGCTAATCCTGCTCTATGGAGCCAGAAGGGCTCTGGATGTAGCAGTGCCTCAACTGCAGATCCCAGATAGTTATTACAACTTTGGCCATGATAAATCTTACAGCTGAGTATAATCTGTTAATTTTGGATTTAACAGAAGGATGCAGAGTTAAGCGTAACAAGTAGTATTTACTCCAGAAGTAGACATATTAGGGATGGGGGTATTTGCCCACCCATGTAGCCCCCTGGTCCCAAAAACAGAAAACTGGCCTTTGGATCTGTGGAGGTTACCCACCCTGATTTACACAATACTACAAAGCATTTCTGGGAGTAGAATGGCAATGTTAAGTGTTTTTGAGGTGTTCTGAAACTGTTGGTTTTTTTAAACAAATACTAAACTGTAGAACAACAAATAACTATCATAAAAATAACATGTTCACCTAAGAAATAACATTTGTGAGCTTTGTCTTTGCCTGACTGACATCTTATACAATCACAAAATGGACCTTATCCTGGGCACCAAAGTACATAAGGGAGAATTCTTGCAGGTGCAAGCTCCTTCATAAATAATGGCAGTCTTTAGAATTAAATTAGGCAAAATCCCTCAACCTCGTTGAGACTGGCATTGAGATTAAAAGGAGCAAAGAAAAACCCTGACTTCTCTAGCTCTGATCTTTTGAATAACCCTTCTGTCCATGAGCTAACCTTCAGTGGGTGTGGACTGGTATGTGTCTGTTGAAATGGATGAAACTTTGCTGATCTGTATCTGCTGAGGATGTGAACCTAGGCACATTTATCACATATCTCAGCCCCAAGAGAAGACGTGATGATGGGTAAGCAGCCTGCTTTGCTTATCTATCCAATCTCTCTATTAGAGATTTTCTAAAGGCAAAGTATTTACTAAGGTTGGACAGAGCCCAGAGAGTTTAAACAAATTTATCTTGAAGCCTTTCATCAAACAGCTTTGGAACAAGGTTCAGTATTTATTAGGATTTAATTTATCTTGAATTTTATAAATTGTGGCCTGGTTTAGACAATACTCTCCCTGTTATCTTCTCCATGTTTCAGACTGAACCATGCTTGCCCAGTGGGCATATATCCTTCCATCTATGCACCCATCCATGGGCATATCATTCGAATACATGTATCTGTGCATAATATCTGATTCACATATGCCTGAATGCCATGATGGCTATCTCAGGGGCGTTGCAGACAGGCCTAAAGGGCCAGCCTAGGGGTGGAGTTGGGGCGGGGCAGCAGCACGCTGGCCACCCCAATCCCACCCTAACGCCATCCTGACACTGTGCGCCCATTTGCACTGCACATGGCGTCAGGACACCCTCCTGGCACAGCATGCAGACATGCTGCGCCAAAAGGGAGTGGAAGAGCTGCTGTGCCAGCTCTTAGGGCAGCAAAAGGAAGGACTGGGGCCACAGCGTGGGGTTGCCGCAGTCCTGATCCACTGCTAGCAGTGGCGACCCAGAGCCGCCAGTCTGCATAGCCCCTCAGTTACAGCTTGACCATGCAATCTAGGCCTACATGACCTAGTCCATGTAATCATGGAATCATAGAACTGGAAGAGACCTCAAGGGCTGTCCAATACAACCCCCTGCCCTGCAGGAACACACCATCAAAGCACCCCCAATAGATGGCCATCCAATCTCTGTTTGAAAATCTCCAAAGGAGGAGACTCCCCCACACTTCAATCTAGGCCTACAGAGGTTGGATTTTATGTTTATACACCTTATTAAAATGGTATATATATGCATGGATGTCTGGTGGCTTTGGACACAGGATGGGCAGGATTGCTCTTGGAAAGCAGTTGTTCCTCTCTTGCAGGAATCTTTAGGAAACAGGCTGGAGAGGCCTATAGCCAGTTTGTAGTCCAAGTTGCAATATGGGAAGGCTAGAGTTTGAAGGACCCCTTGGAAGGAGATGTCAAAGCCTGTATTAAGGGTAACCAGGCAAATGAAGAGATAAGAAATGGCCAAAGAGCAATCAAGAATAGTATCCAGGTATTATTGACAAAAAAAATATTCCAGGTGATAATGAATTACTGCAGATTGCATCTCCTTGTTTGGTAGAGAGCTTAGCCTAAAGAGAAGTGTTTGCTGGTAATAATTGCACTGCAAGGTGACAGAGGCCTAGGCAAACATGTGCTCCAGAAGGCTGGATTTCTTCAGCTGATCATTCAAATAAGCTCCATTGTAGTAGCAATGAAAAGCAAAGTTTCTCCAAGGACCCCCACGGGGCAACATGCACCTAGATGAGACAACTGCTATTGTTCAAGAACAAAGCATTGAAGAATGTCAACAAAGCTGGGTAAAGATGCAGTTTTAAGGTAAAGGAATGGTCTCAAAGGGGCTGATGAATTGAATGGAAACAGTATGTCAACTGGAACTTTTGAGAGAGGGCATCACTTGGACACTGAAGGAAGAAAGGGAATGACTAGGCTTTTAAAAAATAAAACAAAAATAGAGGACTTCCCTTCTTTGTTCGCCTCCATAATACTATCAGCTTGATCTCCCAAATGGTAAAGTAGAGCACTCTACCAGACTAACTAGTTCTTTGCCAAAGTACTGACTCTAGCCTGAAGTTCTTGTCTTGTTCAGGTATTGGAACTGATATTTATTGGCACTTTGAAGCTCTGAAGAACAACGTGCTGCAAATCTCACTAAATTAGGAAGAATTTCAGAATGTGCAAAATCTCATTACGGAGTGAATTTGTATAGCTGATGGTGAGAAGAGACATGCAAATTTCCCTTGAGATGCTAGGTTGGATGTAGAGCCAAGATAAGAAAAACTTCACCCAGGCAATTGGATTTTTTTTTACTTCCTTCACCCCATTACAATTCCCTGAGAAGCTGCTCCTAAGAGCTGGAGTTCCCTGGAGAATGGCATGTGAAGGGGCACCAGGAATTTGGAGGAATTGGGATCCAAGCCATGATGGCAAAGCTTCTCTCTGCAGACTGTCAAAGGGACTGCACTGAGCAACAGTACTTCTCAATAACATCTTAATCCATGCTAATTTAGAGTAAATATGTACTGTCTGATCCCCACATTACTTGTTTCTGCAAATATCACTAGAAGTGCCTGCAGCTGGCATCAAATGCTGTGTTTAGTTTGTGCTCCAAGAGTATTTTTATCACTAAAATTAATACATCATAAAGTAGTTGTTAGTCTGCCCATGCAAGCAATAGCTGTTTGTTCAACTCTTTCTCAAATCTTTTAATTCTGGGAATTGTCTCACATCTATTCCACTTTCATCATGCCTTTTAAAAATATCTGTCAAGGGGATTTTAAAATAAGTTTTCATAATAGCAGCATCTTTTTCTCATTGACTTTTCACATTCCTGCCTATTTAACATTCTGCAGAGATACCCTTTAGAAAGTTCTTGTCTGATTTTAAAGCATTGCCTTATGCTAGCAAATGTATCAGTATTTATGAATGCCCAAATTTTAAAAGGCCCAGACAAAAACTAAAGAGCAAGTTTGACAGTCATGAGGCAAGAAGGGGGGCATTAGTTCACCAAACATGTTGAACAGAGAGAACAAGGAATTGCCAAAGTAGCAGATGAGAAGTGCTGCTGTGTAGGCAGCCATACAAAAGAACATTATGGGGAGCTTAAATATTCTCTGAAGACACCTCCTCTTAGAGCTGGATCATTTAAAGCACACCAAGGGAGAAATGAGATGGGTGAATTATTGTGTTTCAAGGGGTTGATCGTGCATTGGTTTTTGAGCTTTCTTATTTAGAATTCACAACATGCAAACCTTCTTTCAATCAATCCAGGTTATACTCCTGACATTGCAGAATGAAAATAATCCTGTTGATATTTGAACTCTGAAAATAAAAACCAACAACAAACAGTTGGATGCAGTTCCTTTTCTCCATCCATTTCCCAGACTCAAGGTGTTGCTTTGACCATGAGCATGCCATTTCTGGTGTCATGATGACACCAATGTGGCCGACTTCTCTTTCCTCAACCCTTCATCCTCTACTTTCCCCACTTACTCGTGTTAGTAAGATTGATTTCCATTCATCTAACAGCAAGGATTGCCATCAGCTGAACAATAAAATGAATCAGACTATTATTGGTCATCTTTGTACATGTTCATCCATATGTCCACTTTCTGTGAGTGTAAGTGTGTATGAGGGAGGGAGGAAGGGAAAGAGAGAGAAAGAATCCTTTCAAACTGCAATATACAGCATCATAAACCTGTGTAATCTCAACAAAGTAATCACAACCGCCATTCTGAAAATATTTATCCACACTGTTAACCTGTGCAAAGCATGGGGCTGGTGTCCAAAGACAGGGCACAGAACTCCCCCCCCCTTCTGTTTCTTACTTGGTGGCACAGCAGCCTCAAACTTTATATATGTATACTCATGTACACTCATACATGAACACTCATACTCATAGATGTATATCTATAAACAAGTGCCAGTAGGTACCTTTGTTTTAGTTTGCAAGATGGCCCATTTCCCAAGATTACACTTATGATTTTGTTTGAGCATCTTACTAATGATCAAGTCTCATCTTGTCTTGCTTATTCTATACCCTTTACTCCCACAATTCTACTGAGAAGATGAGAGCTAGTGTGGTGTAGTGGTTTGAGTGCGGGATTATGAGTCCGGGGACCAGGGTTCAATTCCCAGCTCAGCCCTGAAACCCACTGGGTGAGCTTGGGCAAGTCACATGCTCTCAGCCTCAGGAGAAGGGAATGGCAAACCTCCTCTGAACAAGTCTTGCCAAACAAATCCCATTATAAGTTTGCTTTGGGGTCACCAGAAGTCAGAAAGAACTTGAAGGCACACATCAACGACCGAGAAGATATGTATTTTCATTACAAGATGCACAGTTGGAAAGCAGGACGGGCATTTCATTTATTCTTTTTAGCTACATTTATAACCTTCCTTTCCATTAAAAATGTCCAAACAGCTCAAATATACATTCGATTACTACTGTAATTGTTTTTCTGCTTAATGAATACTCCTCATTCTTGCATATTTTTTGTTTTTTCTAGACTTAAGCATACCTACATTTCTCCTTGCCCCTGATTGTGGCCTTCTTTTTATTGACTTTTCAAAATTCCAATAGCCTAGCATTATTTGTCTTCCTTAGAGTTAACAAGGCAAAAGCAAGGGATTATATCCAGATACCCCTGCAGTGCACAGAATTATATTTTCTTATTAATATTATCCTCAGAGAGCCAATTTAGGTGAAGGTTATATTAAAAGGGCTACAAGGTAATAACTTACTGCTGGTACATTATTAGAGGTAAGCAAACAGTAAAATACAATTAATATATGAACATTTCTACAAGTATTAAATTACAAGTACACAGTTCTACAGTATTAAAGCTGTAAGTCGACAAAGCATTTTTGGTTTTAGACAACTGATTAAATCTAAATAAATGTACACATTTATATTTAAACTAATAGTAGTTAACTAATAGTAGTTAAACACTACTATTATTACTGCTAATAGTAATTATTAGTACTACTGTTAGTTCAGCTACTACTTATAGTAATAATAACTGCAAAAACTCAAGGTTTTCTTTTTGTAGAACTCCAAAGGAGGAGATTTTCTCAAGTGCAAGGTAGCATACAGTTAAGACATAAAATACACTTGTCCCTCCCTGTTTGTGGATTTGGCATCTGCAAGTCCTCTGTGGATGGCAAGCAGGCAGGAACAAAATAGGGCACAGCACCGAACACAGAAGCGTGCGCCCATTCTAAACCAACGGGCCTTGAATATCTGCAATTTTACAGATTTGCAAACCCATCATGGGTTTTTCTTGGCAAGATTTGTTCAGGGGAGGTTTGCCATTGCCTTCCCCTGAGGCTGAGAGTATGTGATTTGCCCATGGTTGCCTGGTGGGTTACATGGCCAAGCAGGGAATAAAACCTTGGTCTCTAGAGTTGTAGTCCAACACTCAAACCACTGCACTATGCTGGTTTCCAAGTAAATGTACATAAACTAGATTGCAGGCAGCTGTTATTATTCCTGGAAGGGATCAGTGATGATCACTGTCTTAATATTTCTCAGCTCTTGTTCATTCAATACATTTCTGATTGCTAATACTGGAGGAGGTTCAACTACATAGGATCCCTCATGGCCCAATATTGGGACATCTATTTTCTTCAGAGCTCATGCAAAGGTTCATTTCTTTTGGTGTCTGGATACTCTAGAGCAGGGGTAGGCAACCTTTCCCCTTTAAGGGCTGAGGGACTTCAGCTCCCAGAAGCCTCAGCCATGTTGGCCAATTGTCCCATGTTGGCCAATAGCTCCTGGGATTCTGGGAGCTGAAGTCCCTCGGCCCTTAAAGGGGAAAGGTTGCCTACCCCTGCTCTAGAGTCTAGAAAATGGGCGTGAATGTGGGGCGATTCTAGATTCCTCTTGTATTAAAGAAGCACCAATATCTACAAGAAAAGCAATAAACCTCAGTGTAAAGACTGTCAGAGGCTGCTGCCACACTGCAGAATTAATGTAGTTTGACACCACTTTAGCTGTCGGTTAATGCTGTGAAATCCTGGGATTTGTAGTTTGTTGTGGCACCAGAGCTCTCTAATAATAATAATAATAATAATAATAATAATAATAATAATAATAATAAAAATTTATTTATACCCCACCCCTCTGTCAACAACTGGGGTGGCTAACAATCGGGGCGGCTGACAGAGAAGGCTAAATATCGCACAAAACTACAAACCCTAGAATCCCACAGCATTGAGCCATGGCAGTTAAAGCAGTGTCAAGTTGCATTAATTCTGTAGTGTAGATACAGCCAGGATTCCATGGATTAGTTGTATGGATTAAATTGCATGAAGTGCACTGTATTTCCTTCTAAAACACATTCAATTATTTTAAAATGCTACTTAAGGTATGCCTTCTTCAAATAACAATATATATTTGCAGAATTATTCTATCTATATCAAATACTTAATAATTCAAAAACAATCATTTCAGAGTATTAAAATTATTACTTATCTTAGAAAAAGGAAAAGGTTCCAATACTAAAAACAGACATTTGCAGCAGTGGCTTTTACTTGGAATTGAATGAACACTTTAAACAAAGGATTCGTGTGAGCTTAATATCCTTTTGCCACAGCAACATCGTAATACATATTGTTTTGGAACACTATGAGATAACCCATTATAGCAATGCACTCTAGAGAAAAAAGTCCTAAACTGGTTGGTGAAACAGGGTGGGTAGGATTTTACAGAAATTGGGACATAGAGCTGCCAGACCCTTCTCTTGTCACTCAACGGTAATTTATTATTGTAAGCAAGATCTCCATCTGAATGTTAACATTTGCTGTGGGTCCTGGTTTTTTTTTTTATATATATAAGTTTGCTGTATGTGGGCGGAAGGGACTTCTCTGTGATTCTGAAGGAAGATGGACTCACTGACCTTTTTATGTGCCACACTCCTGTTATCCTAGATAGTTACAGCCAGTGGCAAAAGTTCTCCTCCTTCCTCACAAAAATTTCTCAAACTACTTTCCCCCCAATAAAATCTTACTCTGTCTCCTGATTTATTTGTTTTTGCCACTGCCCTCTTTTCTCCTCCATTTCGGATAACAAAAACTAAAATATTTCCAACAGACTGACATTATTAATCTAATGTTTAGAAATTTTGATAATGCTAAGATACATGGCTTCTGGTAACCCATGGGACAAAGATACGTGGAGTCACAATAAGTGGCCTGAATATGCAACCTCACAACTACTGTTGCATGTATGATAATGTTGAGATACATGGCTTCTGGTAACCCATGGGACAGAGATACATAAAGTCACAATAACTGGACTGTGTATGCAACCTCACAATTGCTGTTGTGTGCATGATGTGAATTCATTCCCACACATTAGTGCAAAGGCTGGACGGCAATCTTGCAGAGCAGACAAACCACTTAAAGCAGTTCAGCACACACTTCCAGATAAACAACTTTTTCATTTTTCCCACCTTCTCCCCACTGCCAACATGAATAGCAAGCAAAGCTCATGCAGAGCATTTTCCTTACATACTTCAATCCTTTCCCCTGATGTACATAACATTAGGGCATCCAACAGACTCTGTTGCTGTTACATGGGTTGGGTGGGGTGATACAAGAGGCCTTTGCTTATAGCTTGCCTCATGCAAGAGAAGGTGGTGCATACATAATATGGGAGTTAGTACCTATTCAACAAGGCACCCATCATAGTGTGAAGAAAACCCAAAGCAGAACAATGGCTGAGAGAGATGAAGGATTAGAACAAGCTATTTATAATATTTTTCAATGCTAAATCATATGGAAATCTTATCAAGAGATAGGGTCACCCTTCTTGCTGTTACATGTCTTTGAGTCAATCTTCCATCAACACTCTTCCTGCAGATACCAGCAGTTGTGAAAGTCCAGTTCTGTTTATTTAAAAACAAACAAACAAATAAAAACGTATTCCCCCCCCTTTTTTTTTTTAAGAAACAACACAATATACATGAAGGTCATGGATGAGGTCTTTTTAGAAGTTAGAAGAGAACTATACTTTTTTCTGGAGTGAAGGTCTTCATGCTTTAATCCAAATAAATAAGTAAATAAATAGGAGAGGACTCCATAACCCATCAAAATGGGGGGGGGGGGGCAGGAGCATATAGTCCATCCATGTCTAACATCAGATACAGATACAGATACAGATACACACACACACACACACACACATACCTATCCATAATATCTGGAATATTGCTTGGACATGACCCAGATGGAAGAACACTATAGAAAATACATTAGCTAGAGCAGTCAAAGTACCGTAGAAAATAGCATATGCCTTTAGCACATTTTTTGATTTGGCTCAGTTTCAGTGGGAGGGGCAGAATAAAGACAATTGCTTCAGTACTTGCTTGAAAAATCAAACAAGGTGCCTCTTTTGATGCTTGCTTTGAGAATAGGTTTTGGGTCAAGGTGGCACCAGCTAGACGAAAAGATAGTTCTTGTGATTCACAGAGCTTTTTGCTCAACCGTTGTAAACAGTTTCTGAAAGCCTCTCAGCCCTATTTATGAATTGTGTGCACTCATGGTTTGGTTTGGGAGTTAATCATCTTCCAGGTTCCTCTGTATAACCAACATATAAATCAGTAGTACAGTCAGCTCTCTGTATTCACAGATTTTGTATCCACGGACTTAAGTATCCATGGTTTGAAAATATTTAAAATATATATAATTTTTAAAAAAGCAAACCTTGATTTTGCCATTTTATACAAGGGACACCATTTTACTACCACATTGTGTTTAATGAGACCTGAACATCCACAGATTTTGGTCTTCACGTGGGGTTCTGGAACCAAACCCCAGTGGATACCAAGTGCCCACTGTATGCCTGTACGATCAATTTCAAAGGAGTGCTGAAGGCATGTCAGTGTCAGCAACTCTGTATTAACCCTGATAGGTTCCAGTTAGCACTCTGCTATGAAGCGAACAAACAATAGGAGATTTAATGGGATCGTTAAAGAGGGTGAAGGCTTCAAGCCATTTGGGAATGGGTAGCAGAAAAGAATTACACTTGCCCCTCCATTTTCACAGGGGAACCTTTCCGCCCTGCCCCACGTGAAAATGGAATACCATAAATATTCAAGCCCCATAGAATTGAATGGGGATGTGCACCCCATTTTATACCCCTCT